AACTTATACTTGGACCAGGAGGCAGTCGTCAGAACAGAGCAAGGGAACACTGCATGGTTCAAAATTGGGAAGGTCGTACGCCAGGGATGCATCCTATCTCCATACCTTTTCAACCTATATGCAGAACAGATTATCCAGGAGGCTGGGCTCTATGAGGAGAAATGTGGGGTCAAGATTGGTGGACGATTTATCAACAATCTGCATTATACGGATGACACAACCCTGCTTGCTGAAACTGAGGAGGACCTGAAGTGCCTGTTGCAGAGTGTCAAGGACTGCAGCCTACAATATGGATTGAGGCTCAATGTCAAGAAGACAAAGAGTCTCACCACTGGACCAATTGGCAGCATCAGGATAGATGGTGAAGAGATTGACATTGCACACAGCTTTAGTTTGCTTGACTCCATAGTCAACAGTCTTGGCACCAGCAGTGAGGAAATTAAAAGGTGCATTGCCATGGGAAAGTCTGCTGTTAGGGACCTCTCCAAAGTACTGAAGAGCAATGGTGTCTCTCTGGAGTCTAAGGGGCGTCTGATACAGGCCATGGTCTTCGCAATCACTTGTTATGCATCAGAGAGTTGGACAATGACCAGGGAGGATAGAAGGAGAATTGATGCCTTTGAGCTGTGGTGTTGGAGAAGAGTATTGAGAATACCATGGACTGCTAGGAAAACAAGCAGATTTGTCCTGGAAAGGGTTAAACCGGGTGGCTCCTTGGAGGCAAGGATTCTGAGGCTCCGTCTAACATACTTTGGACATGTTGTGAGGAGAGACCGGTCCTTAGACAGGGACATCATGCTTGGGAGGGTGGAGGGACAGCGCAGGAGAGGAAGGCCCTCTATGAGGTGGATTGATTCAGTGACTGGGATAATTGGGATGGGAGTGTTGGAGACAGTGCGATTGACACAGGACAGAGCGGAGTTTAGGGCTTTTGTACATAGGGTCTCTATGAGTCGCAGACAACTCGACGGCACGTAACAACAACAAAACAGAAAATTTCAAAAGGCAGCCTGGGACGACAAAGCAAGATATTACAATGAACTCTTGGTACTAGCAGTCAAGAAATCAAGACAAATTACATTGAGGAAATCTGTGTTCAGCTACCTCTCCATAGTACTGAGAAGCAATGATGTCAGTCTAGAAACTAAGGTGCACCTGATCCAGGCCATGGTCTTCACAATTACTTGCTATGCATCAGAAAGCTAGACAATGAATAAGAATGAGAGAAGTATTGATGTCTTTGTGTTTTGGTCCTGAAGCAGAGTCTCATGGACCACCAAGAAAACAAGTATCTGTCTTGAAGAGGTTAAAACCAAGTTTCTCCTTGGAGGCTAGAATTTTGAAGCTCTGTCTCACATATTTTGGGCAAGTGGCCAGTCGAGACTGATCCTTGGAAAAGGACATCATGTTCAGAAGGGTGGAGGGACAGTGCAGCAGAGAAAGACCCTGGATGAGATGGTTTGATACAGTGACTGGGACAATGGGGAAAGTGTGTCAGAGTCAGTGAGACTGACTTTGGACAGGGCAGGCGTCAGAGCTTCTGTACATAAGATCACTGTGAGTGGCATAACAACAGAGTAAAATAAAATTTTAAAGTAAACAAATCTTTACTCACTTAAGGTTGAGCCTCAACTTTTGTTTTATAAACTAAAGCAAAAGGCTAACTTTGAAAGCCTTTATCTTCAAATATATATATTCAACATAGGGTCACTATGAGTCGCAAGCAACTCAACTGCACATAACAACTACTAAGTAGACCTTATGCTCTTGGTTTCTATTACCATAGCGAATAAACTCACTGCCAATGACTCCAACTCCTATCAATTTTCCATTGGGTTTCCAAGGCTGTAAATCTTTACAGAAAACCACCTAGCTTTCTACTGAGCAGCAAATGGTGTATTCGAGCTGATCATGCAGTTAAAAGCATAGAACATAACCAAATACACCACCAACAGTCCTTATCATAGATAATGTTGCTCTTGTGTGCCACTAAGTTGGAATAGTCTCATAACTGACCCTCATAGGGGTTTTCAGAGGCAACAAATTGCACTGGTGAAGACTGCCCAGCCTTCTCTGGTAGAACAGCTGGTAGTTTAAACTGTGTGTCTTGATCATAAATAAGGTGGCTAGGGATATCAAGTAACGCAGTGGTTATGAGAAACACATGCCTCAGATCTTTAACTCATGGAAAACCCACTGCCACAGAATTGGTTCCAACTCACAGGGGCTCTCCAATGGGTTTTCCAGGCTGTTAGTCCTTTATAGGAGACAGTCTATCTTGAGGATTCGAACCACTGGCCTTTCAGTTCATTTTTTGTAAGGTTCAAATTTTAAAGATTAGAGGTTTCAATTCTATTTTTAATCACCAGTGAGACTATTCCAAACATGGAGACCCCACATCAGAGTTGAATGTGCTTCACGGAATTCAACTGCTTAATTTTTTAGAGGTAGCTCACCACGCTTTTCTTTCAAATGTCTCTAGGTAGCTATGACTCTCCAAATTTCTATTAAAAGTTGAGCATATTTTATGTACTACTCAAAATGCCCCTCCTGTTTGTACATGTTTTCCAACTTAGTCTTTCAATAATAAACTATCTCTTCATATTTTATGTATATTTTAAAGTGTCATAAAATTATACATCTCAATTATTTATTTCTAAATGTATCAGATTTTAAAGGATACTGAAGTGTCTGTTCTCACCGACACACATAAAAAGATTCAGACTAGTTTTAAAATCTCACTAAAAATCATCTGCAAGACTAATGCTTACAATGGCAAGACAAAAAAAAAGGTCAAGAATAAGTTCAATCAGTATCTCTACTTCACATAGCCATCTGATTCTGGAGCTACAGAGTGAATTACTCATCTTCTAGCAAGTATAAAGAATTTCACTGCTAACCCAAATGTTGTACCTCACTGAAGGTTCAAACGCACCCTGGGAGAAATATGAGCAATCTCTTCTCATGTGATTTACAGTCACCAAAAACCTGCTGGATGGTGAACTAGGATTCTGACGCCAGGATAGTGAGTTTGAGATTTTGATTTTTAAAATCAACTTGCTAAGTGGAGGTTTGAAAAGGTCAATATATAATCCATTCCTAAAACTCCTTCCTTGATCCTTCATTCATTGTCAGAGTTGGAACTCATAATCAAACCTCCAGTAGGTTTTCAGAGGCTGTAAATCATACAGGAGACTGCCCATGCTTTTATGGGGAAGTAGCAGGCGAATTTGATTTACCTGCTTTTGTGCTGGCAGCAGAACTCCCCATACACTAGGATATCAGAGTTCACCTTGACCCTTAGAGCTCGCACTAAGTATAAAAGGAATACTTCAACTCTTTGCAATATACAGAAATTCTGAGTACTGCTGTACAAAGGCCTCTGGAAGACACAAGTAGTTTCTAGTCAGGAAACCTCAAGGTTGGTAGTTTTGTTCTACCCAGCTACTAAATGTTGTTCAGCTGCCTCACAGCAACCTATTAACCCACCCTTTTATGACCATCTGACATACTGGAAGCCACCATTAGTCACTGTCAAAACCATCTCATTAAGGGTCTTCCTCTCCTTCACATGATTTTCTTTTCCAAGGACTGGCCAGTAGCTTCAAGGGAAAAAAGGCAAACTGTTTCCCTAAAGATTATAGTTCAGAAACTCCTACAGAGCAGTTCTAACTTTTAATACGTGGAGTTGCCAGCAGTTAGAATCAGACTTAATGTTTGATGTTTTGGTTTACAAATCTACTGCCACATACTAACAATTACAATGCTTGGCTATGACCCAAATTTCTTAAACCTGAAATAGGATATGGTGAATGTCCGGTAAGAATTTAGAAGGACAGAGTAATGCTCCACAAAAAAATAAATATTAGGACTAATCATAATTTTAATTAATCTCCATATACCACAAAAAAAAAAATATTCCAGGCCTAGTGGCAAGAAACTGCCCTGCAATCTCAGACGTATGCAGTTCGAATCCACCAGATGCTCTACTGGAGGAGGAGTAATCTCCCATACCAGTCAGATTCAATTTGATGGTATACACACACACACAATATTCCATTAGGGTCTGGATTAGGGACTACCACCAGTAAGGAGCTGAGCTGGTAATTCAAAGGCTGCACCCCTCTAGTGATTCTAATTCACAAACAGTTCCTTGGGAGAAAGATTGGCAATCTCTTCCATCAAGATTAAAAAGACACAGAAAGCCAATGGAGAGCCAGCTCAAATTGGTTCCCACTTGATGACAATGAGTGAGCAAGCTGAGCTTTGCCCATTAAACAGCCACATGATCATCAAGTAATATCTCAGGTCAAATTTTAAACAGAAAAGACGTCAACTAGATTACTATGAGACTATCCAAAAGATTATTAATCCAAAATTTGAGATTAGCTGATTAATCTGAAGTGAGCACCTTTAATTCTAAGAAACCCCAAGAGTTTACATTTTACCTGTTTTATTGTCTTAAGAAAAATCTCATTTTAATTGTCTTCAAGTTTCCTGTTTTGTTACCATTTAAAGTGGCAAATAAACGAAAGTCTAAAAGAATGTAGATAAATAGAATCATTAAATGGATTTCAAGAAAAGTAAATAGAAGTAAAATGAACCTATTGTGAACTAAGGATGAGAAGGTAAAAACTTTTCCCTTGGAAAACTATTCCAGAGCATACAGCAAGGAGTTTTAAGATAGATTCTAAACCATAGCCAGGAATTATTATTAGACACAAACTTCTCTAATTTTTGAAAACAACAAAGCTTTCCTATATAAAATTATTTCAATTAAGAAATGGTAATGCATGGAGTTCTTTTTTAGTTTTATTTTTTTGAGTGTCCTATCAACCAAAACAAACAATGAGGTTATGGCCTACTATGTTCAAATCTCCTAATAAATTAAAAAGTGTCATTTTTGCAACTTAATACAAGGATGCTGGCTGAGGCAAGGTGACAGTGAAGCTCAATACTGTCTCATTTAAAAATGTTCCAGCTCATGTTCATTCCAATCATCAATCTTCTTCAGAGCTGGAATCATCCTCTTGGTCAGAGAGTTCAGGAACAGGAAAGCGGAGAATGGCGGCTACTCCAGTCAATTGGCTGAGCTGCTCCCCAGACACATGGAGACTGGAGAATATCCTAACGGTTCCTGCGTTCTCCTTAACACTGTCCACCAGCCTCACATACCGACTCCGAGTGGCTACATCCTGGTGCCTGAAGAGCTCATCACTGATGAGCAGTGTGTCAATTGCCATGGCTTCATTGGCTTTCTCTACCTGTTTGAGTCCATAAAAAGCTCGGTCAGGTTCATGCTGTAACATTTTATAGAAGTCATCCAAGGCTTTTACTTCCCCAGCAGCTTTGGTGTCCGAAAGGCGGCTAGCTACGGTAGGGTCACAAAGAGCCTCTTTCAGGGAATATTTGTGTCCAGAGGAAGCATGGACCTAGAATCAAAATTTTAAGAATTAGACAGTAACAGTCTCTTAGGCCACCCGTTTGTTAACCCACACTGTTCCAAAACCAAAATTACTAAAGAGTCTGTATAGTCTTCATGTTAGCAACAGAATTAGTATTATGTGTTGTCAATTTGGAACTGACTCTTACTGATCTAGATGCAGGTTTTCAGAGGCTGTAAATTGCATGGGAGGCGACTGTCCATCGTACTTCAGGAAAGCAGCTGGTGGACTGAACCATCTGCCTTTGAATTGGCAGTACAAGTCTTTATCCACTAGGCTACCAGAGCAGGTTTTAAAAGCTCTCTTTAAAACAACAAATTTCTTTCTTTCCATTTCATTAACAGCTGCAATCCCAGCCAAGTCAAGACTTTTTCCTTTACTTTTTCTACTTATAAAACTTTAGCAGGAGTTTATACCAATCCCTCTGCCTATTCTTGACCATCCCTGGGTTAAGAGTGGTTTACCTGAAGGAATTTGGACCGGTTTTCCAGCAGCAATTTGTTGTCAGTCTTCACTGCTTGCTGAAACATGTAGTCGCAGAACTGCTCCCTCACAAAGCCCGGGCTGGCCACCAGGATGCACTTCACCACGTCGAAGTTAATGTGGCGCTGGATGGCCTGGACCACCTGCTCATAGAAGCGCTCCAAGGCTCGGTCGTGCTGGGAGCAGTTGCCTTTCCGCTTCCTAGGGATGTTCACCTCCACCTTGGCCCGCGTCAGGGTCATGCTGGGAGTGACTAAGCAGACATGGGCGAGGCCTTCCTGCATGACCACAGCTGCCACATCAGCACTCCATGCGGGGTCACACGCCTGCTCGATGCGCTCCAGGACCACACTGTCCCACTGCTTCTTGGCCAGCGTGAACTGGCGGTTGGGTTCGAGCTCGATGGTGTGATAGGCCCCCATTTTGACATACTCGTTCTCCTGGATGTTGGTCCCCTTCACTCGCAGCTGACAGGCTTGCGAGTCGAAGTCGATGGCCTCCACGCAGAGCGTGAGGGTCGTGCGGACCCGGTTGCTTCCCACGCTGCCAGTGGAGGACTCCATCTGCACCTTGAGGATGGTGGAGGCGCGCAAGCTGTCGCCCACCTGCACTAGATTGTAGGTGTGCCACATATCCTCGGGCTCCTCAGGAACTAGGGTCACCTGGCCCGCATTATCCTTCTCAATGTTCTTCCTCACGAGCTTCATGATCTCGGCAGGGAATCACCACCAGAGAAGAGTGGGCCCCACCAAGAAACGGGCAGGCAGGCGGGAGGGGGCGGGGCCCGGGTTCGACAGACACTTGCCGGGCGGGAAGAAGATATTTTAACTCTTATTTTTGTGGCCGAGGGGAGTACTTACTCTAGCAGCCTTTCATTTTACAGTCTCTAAGTGCTCTGCCCCATTCGAGTACGAGATACGCCGTACCGACATAGGCTTAGGTTGTTTTCTACGGCCAGCAAAGGCCAAATGGCTGATGCAACGAAGACGCATGCGCAGCCCGCCCCCACGATCCCGCGCCGGGCGCGCGTCTTACGTCTCAAGGCAGGAGGCGTGGCCGCAGTTCACGCATGTGCAAACCGAGAGGCGCTCCCAGCGAGTTAACTTTAGTCGTGGAGTTTGCAGTAATAGCAAGTCTTCCTTTAAGGCTAAACGTGGATTTTCCACTTTTCTTTTTCTTTCCCCTTCTGTGAAAAATCTGAGGAGAATAAGTGTAAAGATATTTCTTTTTTTAGCCCAGATGCAGTTGCCACTCTACTTCTGCTTCTTCCGCCGATTTTTAAGTATCTGAAAGAAAAGAACTCTGATGTGTGGAGTTGAACCTAAAGGTCTAAACGAAACTAGATTTTTGTTCCTGCTTTATAGACTTAGTTGCTCTACGCCTATTGGAGCTAGCATTTGTAGCGTCTGTTTCTAAGAATGCTTCCTGAGGATCCTTGGGTTTTGAGCAACTTGCCCAGCTGTTTACTGAGCTTAGTTACAGTGTCTGCACCATTTGATTAAACCAGATGTCAAAGCCTTGGTCCCAGAGAGAAAAGAAACTATCTGTGGAATTTACCCCTGGGTGGACTTCTCAGTTACTTGACCTGATGTCCTGGGAATCCCAGAATCCAAAGTTGGCAGTCTCAGCTTTCCACGGCTCAGTAGCCTGTGAAATGTCTATGGTGGGGGTTGGTGTGCAGTGGAGTAGAGAAGTATCTCTCTAAACAGCTTAAAGTCAGAGCTTTACTGATAAACCTAAACTGAATTGAGGGTAGTAGAAAGTAGGGGGAAACCAATCTACTAACTCCCTCTTTCCCTACACCAATGTACTATTGGTTTTAAAATACTTTGTTGTTTTTAGGTGCCTTTGAATTAACGACAATCACAGTGATCGTATTAACAACCTTGTCCTATTACGTGCCATCCTCATAATCTCATATGTTAGAGCCCGGGTTATAGTCACTATGCCAGTGCATCTTGTTGAATGTCTTCCTAGCTTGTTGCTTGCTGGTCTGCTAACCAAAGTGTCAGCAGTTTGGATCTAAGAGCTTCTACAGTATAGATAAGACAGTCTTCTATAAAGACTCAGAAACCTGATGGAGTATATGGAATCGACTCCAAAGTGCTGTGTTTGGGATTAAGTCCTTTTTGCTTTATAACTTCTTGAGATTTAAGATGATGAGCCAGGAGATAAAGGAGTCCTACACATAGGCCCCTCATTCTGACCCTTTTCCTAGGATGAATTACATAGAGGGCCTAGCCACAGTGTCTAAACTCTCCACGCTAACCAAAAGGTTAGCAGTTAAAACATACCAACACTCCAAGAGAAAAAGATGTGGCAGGACAGTTTCTATGAAGATTCCAGTCTTGGAAGCCCTTTAGACAGTCTCTACTCTGTTCTGTATGGTGGCTATGGGTTAGGATTGATGCCAGTTGAGTGTGGATTTTATTGCATGGCATAGGAAGAGGAATTTATAAGTTAAATAGTGAGGTAGCAGAAATCCTGACCCAGAAGTTTGGTCATTTAAACTTAAGTTTTAACCGTCTTCATCAGCAACTGTAAAGGCAAAATATAAGGCCCATCTAGGGTTTTAGTTTAAATTACGTAGCCTATTTAGTTAAATTATTATTTAAATTAGTTAAATTATTTAGTCTGAGAAAATAATCGAGGATGCTAAACTCTATGAAGAAGAATATGGCAATCAGAATTGGATACTCAAAAACCTGCATTACATAGCTAATATGACACAACTTAGCTTACAGAAAGTGAAGAATACTTGGACTGAAAAAGTGTACAGCTTTCAGTATGGATTACACTTCAATATTGTCGTTGCTGCTGTTGTTGATGATGTTGTTGTAGTTATGTGCCGTTGAGTCACTTGCAACTCATAGTGACCCTAAATCCTGCTCTATCCTGTGCCAATCTTATTGTCTCTGACAAGCCTATCCACATTACCCCAGTGACTGAATCAAGGGTCTTCCTTTCCTGTGCTGTCCCTCCACCCACCCAAGCATGAGGTCCCTCTCCAAGGACTGGTCCCTCCTTGCAACATGTCCAAAGTATGTCAGATGAAGCTTCAGAATCCTTGTCTCCAAGGAGCAGCCTGGATTCACCCTCTCCAGGACAAACTTGTTTGTAATTAAGAAACGCTAGGAAGAAGGGTTGGCCATCCACTTCCACAATAGCAGGCCTTTGAAAACACTATGTACTTTAACATTAAGAAATGACAAATATTGACAACTGGACCAATAGGCAACATCCTGATGATGTTGTTAGGTGTCATCGAGTAGAGTACAGCTCATAGCAAACCTATGAACAAAAGATCTGAACCCTGTTCTATCCTGTGCCATCCTCACACTTTCTGACACACCAGAACCCATTGCAGTATACTATCACCATATTCAATCCATCTAGTCGAGGGTCTTTCTCTCCTTTGCCAACCCTCCACCCTTCCCAGCATCATGTCCTCCGAGAAATAATGCCTTCTAGCAATATGTCCAAAGTATATGAGGCAAAGCCTCATCATTTTTGCCTTGAAAGAGCACTTCTGCTGCACCCTCTCCAAGAAAAACCTGTTTGTTCTCTTGGCCGCCCATGGAACGTTCAGTGCTCTTCTCTAACACCACAGCTCAAAGGCATCAAGTTTTCCCCCCTATCATCCTTATTGATTGTCCAGCTCTCAGATGCATTGCAAGTAATCAGAAAGACCAAGCCTGTCAGATATGCTTAGTCCAAAACTGATAACATTACTCCTCAATAATTTGGAGAGGTCCCTAAATGCAGATGACACAACCCTGCTTGTTGAAACTGAAGAGGACCTGAAACACCTGCTGCAGAGGGTCAAGGACTGCAGCCTACAATATGGATTGAGGCTCAATGTCAAGAAGACAAAGATACTCACCACTGGACCAATTGGCAGCATCAGGATGGACAGTGAAGAGATTGAGATTGTACACAGCTTTAGTTTGCTTGGCTCCACAGTCAATAGTCTTGGCACCAGTAGCCAGGAAATTAAAAGGCACATTGCCATCATTTGTGGCTCATAGCAACCCTATGTACAATATCCCTGAAACCTGTTCTATCCTGTGCCAACCTAATTGTCTCTGACACACCTACCCTCATTACCCCAGTCAATCCATCTCATTGAGGGTCTTCCTCTCCTGTGCTGTTCCTCCACCCACCCAAGCATGATATCCCTCTCCAAGGACTGGTCCCTTCTTGCAATATACCCAAAGTATGTCAGATGAAGCATCAGAATCCTTGCCTCCAAGGAGTACCCTCTCTAGGATGAACCTGTTTGTTCTCCTGGTAGTTCACTGTATAGTCAATACTCTTCTCCAGTACCACAGCTCAAAGGCATCAATTCTCTTTCTATCATCTCTAGTCATTGTCCAGCTTTCTGATGCATAGCAAGTAATTGATCTGGCACACCTTAGTCTACATACTAACACTGCTGCTCTTCAGTACTCTGGAAAGGTCCCTGACAGCAGATTTTTCCAATATAATTCATCTTTGGATTTTCTGGTTGCTGGTACCAAGAGTGTTGATTGTGGAACCAAGTAAACTGAAGCTGTTAAACATTCTCAATCTCTTCATTGTCTATCATGATATTGCAAATCAGCCCAGTGGTGAGAATCTTTGATGGATAAAATATTGAAATTGTCAAGGATTTAATTTTACTTGGCACATCCAAAAACTTCTCCAGTAGGGTAAAAAGGGAAGCCACTGACTGGGAAAAAGTATTCAGTAATAACATATCAGATAAGGGACTTATATCCAGAATTTATTAAATACTTGAGCACCACAGCAAGATAAAGGTAAATAATCCAATAGAAAAATGGGCACAGGATATGAACAGGCACTTC